AGGATATCTCCCATTTCATCATCAATCAAATAGGTTTGTCTGGAGGTCAGTATGAGTTGTGCATAGGCTGTTGCCTGGGCGGAAGAAGTGTTTTCAATGTCTGAAAAAATATCTGCCTCTAATATTGACCCCAGCATGGCTTCATTAATAGAGAATGGTCCCAGAAGCTCTTTCCTTTTGCCTTGAGAGCAGGTTTGGTTAATGCTGCTGTAAATAATTTCCCATCTTTATCGGGAATATCCATCATTAACTCACCACCACAAGGACTTCCACCATCACCTGCTATTTTCTCAAACACGGACCTAGACATTCTTCCCCACCCTTTCTCTCTGATGATTTTATATCGCCTAACTAAAGGACAGGCATCCCTGCTGAAGGAACTTTTAGAAGCTCAGACTGTCTTGCCACAAGAGAGAACCTTCCTTCTGGACCCCAGTTACTTGAGATTATCTACCCTTCCCTCTACAAAATCCTTGCAGATTTTGGGTTCTAGACCACTGGGTCCCACAGGTTTCCAGCCCTGGGTTATGAATGAACTCTTAACACAGTTCATATGCTTCAAAATCCAATATATGAATGTCACTTTGGTCATTAGACTTAACACTTTTTTAGAACCTACTTTTATTAGTAAGGGATCTTTTTTGAGCCAAATGAATCAAAAAGATTCATTTCTTTTTGAATGAATCTCTATCAGATAGAGAGCTGATTTGATATATGAAGTAAGGCCACTACTTAAAATTGTAGCCTCCCACTTTCTCTACTCTCCTCAAACCTATTTTATGTATTATTAATGTAGTTTATATAATTAATGTAGTTTATAAAACAGAAATTGATTATAGTGCCATGCTGAATATAATACTGTTATATAAATTTGTTTAAAAATAAAAGTGTAGGAATAATTATCAGGACTATTTGCTAATCTATGTTCTTTTGCTCATCCATACTTTGGATAAACTTAGCCAGTTGATCGAAAGTCAAAACACTTAACTTGGCAATAGATGAATTGTTGCCTAAGAGGAAATGAGTAGTCACTGAAATACCAGACAACTGAACCCAAACCTATGATGTAATGCTAAATGGTACACTCCGATGCAGTGACTCATTTAGAAAATCACTAACATAAGGATTCCATCAATATTTGTTGTCAGCTGTGAAAGTGTAGATTGTCAGACTCTTTTGCTCCAGTGGAATCCTTTTGTCTGCATATAATTAGAAGTCAACATAGACCTAAAAGCTACTTTCCTGTTGATTTGGAGGTGTGGCCTGGGGTCCTATCGGCTCCACCTCCCTCTTATCTCAGAAGGTGGCATCTCCCAGTACCCCAGGGTTCCACCAAGCTCAGTTTAGAAACTTCTAGGTTGCAGCATGATGGCAGTAAGGTCAAGGTCATGATTTCAATGTCTGTGGTGGCCATGAGCAACCTCTCCCATTTATAAACACAAAACACCCTGTGGTATAACAGGGATGCACAGGTGATGCTCAATTTTAAACAGTTACTTTTATCACTACACTTAACCAATCATTCCTGCAAGCGTGTACCTGTGTTACAAATAAGAAGAGTGAGTATGCAAAAATCTCCCCAAAATGACAACTGTACACCCTGCTCTTGGGCCAATAGTATCACCTTTGTCCACTGAAAATACTTCATTTTACTTAAGTAGGGACAGTCAGCACCTGTTAATGGTGTTATTAATGGGACTGGGATGTGCCATAGGGTAAGGCAGGAAGGCCCCCCCAGGACCCTTCCAGCCCAGAGCTTCCACATTCTCTCTTGTAAGAACTGCAATCCCAGATGGACACTGAGCAAATTACTGTCCCAGAGCACAGCCCCATCTCTCTGTAATTTGCTGGAATTTTTGGAGCTTCCCATAGTCAAAGTTTTCTCATGAATCTTTATTTGCCTTTCTTTCTTCAACTCTTTTATCTTCCATCTGAAACCATGAGTCTCAAGCGTAGATCTAGGATTGAGATCTAAACATCAAGCTGTAGGCGAGAATGTAGTGGCAAAATGTTTGTCTTGAATTTTACACAAATAAATAAAAAGAAAATGTAAGTTCATCTGGAGAAAAGATTATGATGATTTCAAAGACATGGGTTGAAGTGTTTTCTTTATAATCCTCTCCTCCATCCTCATATCTCTGGTCCCCCCAACACCAGCACCCCCATGGTGAATAAGCCACCTCATCTCCTACTTTACAATCGAAGCCACAGGTGGAAACTGTCTCAAGTTGCTCCCACTTGCCCTGAAAATCTACCAGAATGTACACTCTCCTTTTCTCATTCCCTCTTTTCCAGTGAAAAGGTAGCCCTGCTCCATGCCTGATTCCCTCACTGGGCCCCGATTCCTCCCTTTCCAACTCCTGAGTTCTCGGCTCCATCAGTTACCCCTCCCTCCCTCATCACACACCCCCTCTGCCACCTCCCTCAGCTGCACTCGCTGTTCAACCCAGCCATTGTCTATTCCTCTGCTTCCCTTCATGCTCAAGCCAGTTGAGAGAGTTGCATTTACCTTCACAAATTCCTTTTCCTCTCCTCCCCTTTGCCCCACACAGACAGTACCCTACAGGGTCACCAACAGTTCTTTGTTGCTAACTGCAACAGATACCTCGGACTTCTTATAAGTATCTAGACTTTTGAAAAATTACCCTATAAAAAAAACAACAAGCAAACATTCATTCATTCAGTCAGCAAGTATTTATTGAGTTCTTCCCAGTGCCAGGAACTGAGGGTGCAGCAGTGAACAGGTGTTGGCAATCACGGAGTTTACATTAGGAGGGGAAAAGAAGCCAAGCATTAAACAAGTAAATAAATGAACAAGATCGTTCCAGAGGGTGATAAGTGCTACAAAGACAAACAAAACTTAGAATGACTGAATAGAGAGTAGCTATGAAAACGGCACTGAGTTTTGAAGGGAAGCACCTCCGAGATGACATTTGAGCTAAAGACACCTGTGCAAAGCCTCACAAGCAGAACGAACAGCAAACAGAGAGCTCCAAGATGGGCACAAGTGCGGAGAATGTATGACGACACATCGTTCATTCGTACAAACAGAGAGAACAGAAAGAAGGGGAGAAAGTGTGATCTTTCTGGGTTGGGAAAGGGCTTCTGAATCACAAGTGAAGTGGACCAAGCCCGAAAGAACAAGAAGCCTGTATCCTGGGGCATGGCCTCTCCTCCCTCCATGGGCCTCGTAAGCAGGAAAGGTAGGAAGAGAGGTTGGGGAGGAGTTGGGGGAAGGATCCATTGCCTGCATCTTTCACCTTTCAATGACAACTTTTGGAGCCAGTAAACAAATCAGCCAAATATGGGCTTAAAACAAGCTAGGAAAATTTCTGGAGTATACCTAGCTGGATCCACTCCAAACCCTCTTCTCCTACTTACTCCCCAACTCCAGGCTGAGTAAGGAAAGTGGCCAAAGAGGGGCTTCTTCCTACAAGGCTATTGCTGAGGGTACCATGGAACCCTAAGGCAAAGCCAGGCCCTAAGGGGGGAGTGCGTTAGAGAACAGGCTCCTCATTATCAGCTTCAGTGGTCAAAGTTCTCGGTGGGTAGGAACTGACATGGGACTTGGAGGGGCTCTCCAGTATTTGTGCCTGGGAGAGAAAACGAGAGCACAAAGATATCCTCCCAAAGCTAAGTTCCTCAACACACACACTCACACACACACAGACACACACACCAGTCCACAGGAGCACAAGATGATCTCAGTTTCCTCCATTTGACCCAGGGGGCAACCTCCCTCCGGGCAGTACGTGTTTGTGTGTAGGGGATTTGGCAGAACCAGGTGGAGTGAAGGCGGGGGTTTGTGCTTATAGCCCCGACTGAGCACCCATACTTGAAATCACAGTCCTCCCCAAGGTCTGGGGCTGCAGATAGTGTGGGCAAAACAGAGAGGAGAAATGGGAAGTCAACCCCCACACCTTTCCCATTATAACTGGGTCCAGACCTTCTCACAATGTGAAAAGGCCTCCTACACAGGAAGAGAAGCCTTGAACTGCTTAACCTCCCCTAACTCTCCTCTTTCCCAAGGCCAAGCTCCTCTTCTATTTTTCCCAATCCCACTACTCTGTCACGTGGCAATGTGGAGGGGACAGCCAGGAAAAGCACCAAGGAACCAGGCTTCAGCCTTCCCCAGAAACTTGGAAGGTCATGATCTAGAAATAGAAGCTCTCTGAGCACCCCGTTCTGGTCTATTGAAAATGCTCTGTGGCCATAGGCCTGTGTGTCAAGGTGTGGAGGGGTAGGAGGGCAGCAGCCCTGTGTCCGGGACCACTCAGGAGAGGGTGCAGGGGTAGGGCATCCCTGTGGTCGAAGCCAGATAACTTGCCCAAGGTCACACAGTTTGAAAGCAGCCAGCTCTAGAAGTGGGATCATCCAGAGATAGGCTGGACAGGGCTCTAAGGCAGTGCCTTGGAGTGTTTGTTCTCACCCAGGCTGGGACCAGAAGGTATTCAAATAGCCCCATGTGAGATTGGAGACAGGGACCTGAGGAGTAGGAGGGGGCTGCTTCCTCATGCCTTTTCTCTCTGCTTACGACAAAGCACACAGCCACATCTGACACATAGATAGAGACGACTCCTACGCTCTCTGGGGGTTTCTTTGCATCTCTGGATTAGGTGGCAGCCTAATATCTTACTCAGAAAATAACCTGAATCTTCGCCAGAGCTCTGAGTACGGGCTGATGTTGGGAACTGATTAATGGCACAGGGAAAGAGAGGAATCCCAATTTGAGAACTCATTACAAGGAAGAAGGTAAAGGACCAAAAGTCAGGCTCAGCAACAGGATGCCAGGGATGGAAGAGGGTAAAGATTTGGAGGACAACATGTGGGCTGGCTCTTGAGCCATCCTGACCCAAAGATCCTGGAGGCCTGTGCACGTCGTGGGGAAAAGGGGACTGCAGGTGAAACCAAAAGAGCTGTGCACTGACTTCTGGAGCCCATAGGTGCTGCTGGGACCACCCCCTGGCTGGAGTTTAACACACAGAGATGCCCCTGCTCACCTCCAGGTGGGCTGCCTCAAGGCCCCCACGCCACGGGGGCCATGGGCATCAGCAGTTGCCACATCAGCAGGTGTTTGCCCCTGCGTCATATCTGAAGCCAGATAACTTGTCCGAGGGCAGTTGGGTTGTGAAGCAGGGAGTCCAGGAGCTGAGGCCGTCCATTCACTTGAAATTCCTCCGCGATCACTTCTTCTTTGGGGTTGGCTTGATCCTCCTTTTCAATCTAATTTACAAAGAGAAAAATAAAAATGCGCAACATTGGTAAGTGATGTACACTCTCTCTCCATGCTCAATTAATATAACTGTGAATCTGGAGACTGCCTTTGAGGTTATTTTTCTTCTGGGAAATCTAGCCTTAGAATCCTTCCCCTTAATTTCTCAATTCTGGCAGTCTGGCCCAAATTAACACAATAATAATTTTTCCCTGGCCTGAGCCTAAGAAAGATCTTCTTTAAAAGTTCTCCCATTTTTCCCAGCTACTCAGGAGGCTGAGGCAGGAGGATCACTTGAGCCCAGGAGTTTGAGGTTGCTGTGAGCTAGGCTGACTGACACATGGCACTCTAGCCCAGACAACAGAGTGAGACCCTGTCTTGAAAAAATAAATAAATAAAAGTTCTCCCATTTTTATGTATAATAATTATTGCTTTTCTAGTTAATCATTGTAGATTATTTTAAAACAGAAAAACACAAAGAAAATCAAAATACACCCCACTCCTGGGAGAAAAGTTTTACTATGCATAAAGATATGAATGTACATACACATATACATAGAATGTATGCACTCAAATTATAAAATTGTGACCATACCAACATGTTTCTATTTTGATGGGTAACAAACTGTGTTCAAGAAGGAGATAAACAACATCCAATAAAGACATTATAAATATGTGGCCACAGATAAGCATTGCTTGCAAATTTATCCAACATAATAGTCAATGAGATCAATTTATTTAGACAGCAGAACTCTATGTGATTGCTTTTGAAATGAGAACATGTTGAATAGTTTCAGAGTACCATCAAAGTTTTTAATTTAAAAACCAAACACACACAAAAAAACCCAGATGCGTGAATTAGAAATATGGCACAATCTTTATTCTAGAGACCAAACTTATGGGGATCACAGCTTTTCTTATAATTTGGGAGATTTTTAAAATTAGAAATAAAATTCATATTCAGTTATTAACAATAGCATTTTAAAAAATCTCAAATTATATATTAAGCTGACAATGTTGCTGCCCTTCAAACTGAATTAAGGATACCAAAAAATAAATAAATAAATGCAGAAATATTTTATTGAAACTTATGGAGTGAATTATAGCCTGGAGGGTTGGAATGCATTCCTTGAAATTTGGGGAGGGAATCTCTGTACACTTTCTGGATTGCCCCTATGACCCCCAGACATAGGGCAGCCTGTGTGTTTTAGAATTCTCCATAGATGCTGCTGAATATAAAACCCAGATACTGAGGCTAACATAGTAGCCCACGGATTCCAGATGTCACCCTGTGCAGTTATCACTGAAATCATGGCATCCCAGGTAGTATGAACATCTAATTATCTAATTGGTACTTTACTGGCTATGGTAGCCACATTGGTGGCAATGGGGGTGGCCAAATTGTGCAGCAACAGTCCCAGAACTTCAAATCAACCAGGGGAAGAAACTGAGTTGGAGAGGATCTGCTAGTAGTTAGGATTAAATGACACAATGTATCCATTGAGTCACAGTTCTAATAATATTCACTTACACATAGTACTACTATAATATTAAGAACTAATGAAATAGGTAGTATCCTCATTTTACAGATGGGGAAAATGTGACTTTGAGAGAATAAGTAATTCAGACAAAGGGCATGCACAGAGCTCAGACTCAAACCTTTTCAATTAATGCTCTTTTCTTTTCAATTTTACTGTCCAATTGTTGGAACGATGCCAGAGTCCTTGCCCTTCTCACTGGCCCAGAGTGGCTGCTAAGTGTGTTTTTAGGCCTCACTCAATAATAACATCAGCCACGCCCTGAGACAGGCCCTGGGGATATGAGTATAAGATTCCCTGATCCTGAATCATGCACATTTCATCCAGCAAGGGAGATGGACACAGGTAAGTGAATTGATGAGCAAGGGTGTCTGAAATATAGCAGTGGAAGTATCAAGGGAGCCCAGGGAAAGGCAACCATCTGCTCACCAAGAAGTATAAAAGGTTCTTAAGCCAAAGGGCTATGTCAAGACTCCTTACCACTGACAGCAATAATGATTCTGTAGAAGAATCATCACAGGAGAGGAGTTCTCTGCCTCCATAATATACTCTACATATCATTCCTGCTGACCAACCCAAAATAGAAAAATACTAGTTCACTATTGTGCAAAAGTCAAGCCCTACATAAAATGTCCTAATTATCTTATTATAGCACAGCTTTGGAAGGTTAAAATTATGAAGACTGCCCATATAGCATAATATAAGAAATAGACATGTCAGGCCATGTAGGGTTGGGGAAGGAAGTGTCATTAGTCTTTGGCTCACATAGGAACAACTATCCCATAACTGTTCTTCAAGGTATTAACTCCCTCCAATAAGAGGTTGGCCCTAAATGAGGATTGGAATTAAATCCATAATGTAAATCCAATCTCCAGATCTTTGGTGACCATCTGTCATAAGCATTAAGGTGACATAAGTACCTGGTGATTTGGGGCAATTACTAGCACAGTAATTCTAATAATAATAATCAGGACCAATTCTTTACATACAAAGCATGTTCATGGTCATTCTCTGTTTGCATGATAGAGCATATCAATCCATGGGTCATGAAGAAAGTTGGGCTATAGCTGAAAATGAGGATTTGAAGAAAGCACAGATAACACAACTCAAGAACCTTATCTGATTAAGTTTGGGCCTTAGGGCTCTAATCCCTTTTAAAAACCCAGAAGGCCAATTTGGCAAGACTTAATCTTATTAAAACATTTCTCTAAAAAGTAAATGTTTTAAACAAAATAGCAGTTCAAAACATATACAAAAAATAAGCATTCATATTGAAAAGGAAAATATAAAACTGTCTCTACTCAAAGACAATATGATTGTCACTATAGAAAGAAACCCCAGGGCCTACAAAAACAAAAAAAACCTAGAATAGGTGAGTTTAGAAAAATCACAGAATATAAGATCAATATACAAAAATCAGTTATATTTTTATATAGTAGCAATGAATAATTGAAAATTAAAATTGAAAATATACTATTTTTAATATCACCAAAAAGCATAAATTCTTAGGTATAAGGCAAACAAAATATGTGCAAGATCTGTATACTAGCAACTACAAAACTAAAAAGACCTAAATAAATGGAAAGACATACCATATTCATGGACTGGACAGCTCAATATTGTTATAGTTCTCCCCAAATTGATCTATAAACTCAACACAATCTCTTTCAAAATCCTACCAGGATATATTGTAGAACTTGACATTGAAAATTAATATGGAAAAGTAAAGGAACTAGGATAGCCAAAATAATTTCAGAAATGAAGAATAATGTTGGAGAATTCACACTGATTTCAATATTTACTATTAAGCTACAGTACTCAAATGTGGTATTTGTGAAATGAAAAATACACAAAAAATGGTAAAAATTGAAAGTTCAAAAATAAACCCACAAATATATGATCAACTGACTTTTTACAAAATTGCAAAGGTAATTTGGTGGAGAATCTTTTCAATAAATGATGCTGGAACAATTGGATAACCATACACACACAAAAAAATTGAACCTCAATTCATACCTCATGATATTTATAAAAAATTAACTCAAAATGGATAATAATATAAATGTAAAACCTAATTTTAAATTTCTGTAAGAAAATATAGGAGAACATCTTTGTGACCTTGGGTTAAGAAAATATTTCTTAAATTAAAAATTTATTAAAATTTAAAACTTCAATTCTTCACCAAAACACTGTTAAGAAAATAAAAAGGCAAGTCACAGACTTGGAGAAAATATTTGCAAAACACATTTTTGATAAAAGTCTTATATCCAGAATATTTTTAAAGCTCTCAAAGTACAATAATAAGAAAAACAACTCAATTTTCATATGCAAAAGATTCGACTAGACACATCAAATAGGTGTCTTTGGTGGTTGATCCATAAGCTCATTAAAACATGCTTAACTTAGTCATTAGGAAAATGCAAAATTATAACTAAAACAGGATACCACTACACACCTATTAGAACAGGTAAAATTTTGAAAGCTGACAATAACAAGTGCTGACAAGAAGCCCAGATTTCTGGTGAGAATTCAAAATGGTACAACCACTTTGGAAAATAATTTAGCAGTTTCTTATAAGTTTGAATGCATACCTATTGTATAACAATACCAGCCCTAGTTATTTACTGGAGAGAAGGGAAAGCTAACTTTCACATAAATGTTTATAGCAGCTTTATTCATAATTACCAAAACTGGAAACAAATGTCCTTCACATGGTGAGTAGCAAACTCAGAACTCGGGCATTTACACACGAGGTAGATGTACACACATGGTAGGTGCTTCCATATAATGAAATGCTACTCAGCTATAAAAAGAAAAGAACTACTGACTCGTGCACAACATGATTCTATCTCAAAAGCACTATACTGAGTGCATGAAAGAAGCCAGACTCAAAAGGCTATCTGCTGTATGATTCCATTTATATGACGTCCTGGAAAAGGCAAAACTATATGGTCAGAAAATAGATCAGTGGTTACTAGGGCATAGGGAGTTGATTACAAAGGAGAAGTATAAGGGAATTTTGGGGGGTAATGAAAATATTCTATATCTCACTTGAGGCAATGGTTACATGACTATGCGTATAGAAATGTATGCTGAAAGGATTGAATTTTACCATATGTAATTTGTACCCCAATAAGCCTGATATACATGGGATATGTGTGTGTCAGCATGTGTGTGTGTGTGTGTGTGTGTGTGTGTGTGTGTGTACGTAAACTGCAATGAGGACATCTGGCAAGGCAAGCTGGAAGAGAAGCGCAATGTGGATGTGGAGTCGGATAATTTCACTGGTAATTTTGGAGGTGACAATCTCTTTCCCTCATTGGAGACTGAGCTCCTTAAGAACAAATAATTCATATGCAGCTCTGTTGAGCTGAGTTCAGCCAGCCCTCAGTACAGCCTGGTAGCCTGGTCTCTAATATTCCAAATATACCCCAACCTTCTCAAGCCTCTAGCTCTGTCATTCTTGGGGCATG